TATATATATATATATATACATGCCTGTTCATGTTGCTCTCCGTCTGTACATATTCCTGTCTTATCTGTGTGTGTTTCTGGTTGAAGATTTATTTCCCATTTAGACGTTTTGCTCTCTGTTTATTTGTGTGTGTGAGTGTGAGTGTGGATGCCATCCTGTTTGGTGTGCCTGTGTTTTTCATCCCGCACTGCCGCTGTGCGCACCTAGAGGCATACCGAAGGGGTGACGTGCCAGCTGCGTGACGACAACGGCGTGAGTAGCCGTGCGGGGGGAGGGTAGATAGGAGAAGAAACAAGAGTACGCGAGAAAAGAAAAACGTTTGAGGCGGGCGTGTGGAGCAGATGTAAAAGAGCGCATGCTGTGTTACTGTGACATCGCGTAAATGAACACGTTGAGAGCTACGGAGCGAAGCGCAAAGCAGATTACCCCCACCCACCAAAGAGAAGAAAATAATAACAAAAAAAAGATTTGAAGCAAATAAATATGTGGAGAAGAAAAAAAATCATGTTCAATCACGAAACCCGATCCTGGTGCATTCTGTCATTTCCCCCATTACTGTTCGCTGTATTTATTATTGTTGTATGCAGCAGGTGACACGGGAAAAAGTGTGGGTTAAACGCCTACACCGCACACGCGTATCGGGGAGGCATATAGATGACAAGGTACAATTAATGAATGCGTTAAGCGCTGTGTGGGCTTGTGTGTGTGTGTGTGTGGCAGTGCGAGACTGGCGTCGGGTGGAGTAGGAATGACTGCAGCCGTGGTGCACAGGCGAGCACTGGTGGTGAGAATGGGATGTAATGAGTGACGGGAGAAAATGAGATAACGTGGGATGACCAACCACATTGACGTGCGGCAAACTTAGTGCAGATATAAAAGAGGATGCGAAATGCGAGGGAAGAAAAAGTGAAGAAAAAGGACGTGAATATGTGGGGGAGTGTTGGAACGTGGGCAGAGCCACTCCCCCCCCNCCCCCCCCTCGGCGCTCCGCATGAACAAAACATGCACAGCGCCTTCCCACTTCGCCTCTCCCCCGTCGTGGTGTCTCGGCGCACCCCCACCCCCACGGATAAATGCCAGAAAACGAAATGTGGTGCTAAAGAAGAGTGGAGTTGTGGGAAGCTGCCGCTTGTCGTTGGCAAAACATCTTTCTACGGTTTGCTTGCTTTGGTCCACCTCCAACGGTGTTTCTGTTGACATTCCTGCTCTCTGGGCCGTGTAGGACTCACAAGGCGCGGTGTCCGTTCCCGACGCTGGCGGTGCGTGTTTTTCCTTTTTTTTTTGGCCCCTTGCCTGACTGCATGCGTGTGCATCACACAGCACACTGCGACAGCAGCAGAGGTCTCTCACCTTCCATTGTTTTGCCGTGCTTGTGGTCCTTTTTTTATGCTGTAAACCGGACGGATGGGGGGAGCGAGAAGGAGAGAGGGAGAGAGCCATAAATAATGGCCATTATCCATGTGATAAGCGAGACCGACAGGAGGCGTGTCGACAAGCAAAACAAAAATAAGAACATCTATGCAATAGTAAACAAGAACAAACAAGTTTTACGGGCCTTGTGGCAAAAGAACGAAAACAAAACGAACACAAGCCTCCTCCCCACGTTGGACAACATGTGAAGAAGAACAACTCTCACTTCCTCCTCCTTATCTATGTGATGAGAATTAACTTTTTTTTTTCGCGGGTTTTTGTCTTCTGTGTTGCTTGCCTGCCCATTGAAGTTAACATTCAGCGCATAACATTGTTTGCCCAGTAATGACTAGCGAGGACGCGCTTGAGCTGCCGCCGGCGACGCTCTTCCGCTGCCCGCCATGCCTCGCCCTCCCAACAGCAGACCCACACGCCCTCGCGGTGGAGTGCATGCTTCGCTTTGTCGGCGCGCACTACGTGAAGCGCGACGCTCCACTGCCCGTTGCACTTGAAGTTGCCGCTAGCAGCGGGAGCAGCAAGATGGTGCGGTACAGTGGTCTCGCTTCGTGTCTGCAGTCCATTGAGAACAGCACACGCCTTGACGCGGAAGCCCTTTCGCACGAGCAGCGTACCCTCTCGCTATGTGTGAAGGCGCTGGTTGAGAATGAACTCCTCCCCGCGTTCGTGTACATCACTCACAGTGACACACCTCTATTCAAGAATGCAATTCGGAAAGGTGTTGTGCCAAAAGTTGCAACCGCGTGGCAGCGGCTGCGTGGGACGTACCGCTGTGGTGTCCTTGAGAAAAGTGCGTGCTGTGGGCGTTACAGCAACCTCGAGGAGGCCCTTGAGAGGATGGAAAGTGGCCTACGCGCCCTGGAGACGCTGCACGTTGCCAACGCCAAGGCTGCTGGTAACTTTCTTTTGGGAACTGAGCGTCCGTGCGGCGCTGACGCATTGGCGTACGCCGCGGCATCATCGTTCTTGCACGCCGACTTCGTCAGCAACTGCGCATCGGGCGCCGTTGTGCGGGCGCAGCGGCGGGTGAAGGAGGAGTGCCCGGCGCTGCTCGAGTACGTAGAAAGACTGCGGCTGCTCTATTTTGAAGAGTACAGTGGCTTCTACACACTGCGGGCGACGGGAGGGCCCGATGCGACGGCTGCCGACCCAAAGCACGCAATGGACGAGACGTTCCGTCAAGGGCGGTGGGCGGTGCTCGCGTGGACTGCGGGATTCGCCGCGGTGTACTTCGTGCTGACGAACGCCGAACTTATTCTGGCGCTGCTGTCGGAGTTCGACGGTGAGGAGATGTTGGAGGAGGAGGAGGAGCAACACTAGGAGCGGAAAGGAGAGAAACGCGTAGATGGGGAGGTGTGGAGTGTTGTGTCACACATGCTTACATTGCCTGTAATAGGCGTTTTTTTTTNTTTTGCGCTGGGGATCTGTGGCGGCGCTCCGTCCTTATACGTCTGTGTGTGTGGGTGTGTGTCACGTGCCACAACGATGTGTAAGCGTTGGCACCGCAACAGCTGTGCTCCTGCCTTCCTTTTGCCTTTCGTCCTTCGTGTAGGTTGTATCTTTGTTGTCCCAATCTTGAAAGCCCCATATTTATTTTTTTTTGAGTCTCTTTCCTTGTGGTTTTTTTTTGTTTGGTTTTCCCTTTTTCTGTGGGGGTGGTTGCAGCTAGGAGGTACTCTTGCTTAAGGCCGTAGGACGTAAGCAGCTCGGCGCAATGCAAGGCAGCTGGGCGATTCTGAAGAAGAACTGCACGAACTTCTTCCCTGGTGTGGCGCTCTTCGCCAGTCAAACACAGGAGGCGCTCAATATATGGCTACGCATCTATAACCGTCAGCTCAAGTACGGGCCACAAGACTTCGTGGAGCAGAGCGAGACGTACTCGCCCGACTACCACAAGCGCTTCCACTCGCAGGACAAGAACATGTGGGTCGACAAGGAGCTTAGCCAGGAGGTGTCGCAGAAGGAGGTGGCGAAGCTGATGACATACAAGCTGGACATGTGGCGCATGGTGCACTGCACCGGCTCCGCGCTGGTCGTTGGCGGCTACGCACTGCCCTTCGCTCTCTTCTGGCTGGCCAACGACACGTGGGTGCCGTCCTGTTTCAACCGCACCCCAGAGGAGCTCAAGGCGTGGCGCCACGCGCAGGACTTGTACCGCTACCGCAGCGCCCCGTCGTACCTCACCGACACGAAGTGGCACTTCGACTTTCACGCATACCCGTGGAACGAGACGCAAGAGCGTGCATGGGACGACCTCTTCGAGAAGAACGATGTGCGGCGTGACCCCAAGCTGGTCCGCCACGCCGCGGAGATGTACGATGGATTCATTAAGTTCGAGCTCATCCGCCGCAAGTCGCTTCGCCACCTGAGCCGAAGCATGAACATCCCCACCTTTCCGATGCTTACTCGGCTCTGCAACGGTACCCGTGTGCGTGACTACTGGAACCTCGCGTGGTGTGAGGACCACATGGTCATCACACAGAAGCTGCACGAAAAGATGACGGACGAGGAGTTGTACGACTACGCGTGGCGCCGCTTTCTTGCCCCGTACGACAAGAACCTCACCCGTGAGGAAGTTATGGAGCGTGTGGAGTCATACTTCGCCTTTCTTGGTCCCGATTTTATTGAGACGGGGAAGGCGCCGAACCTTGTCATTCTGACCAACTACGTGCTCGGCTACTACAACGACCCAGCGTTCCTCGTGGAAGACATCTCGGAGCTCGACAAGAATGACTATGACCACCTTGCCAGCTGGGGCAAGGACGCATTCCTGCGCCGTCTGGAGTTTGAAAACGGTCCGCTGCGCGACCAGGTAGAGGCGCACACGCAGAAGCTCCTGGAACAACGCGCCGCCGCCGCCAAAAAGGCGCAATCAGACAGCGCGGCCACGACGGCAGCTTAGCGTGAGGAGCCGTGATGCAGGGGAATGGGGGGGGGTGCACACAGTACACACATGCGTACTCCCATACACACGCATGCATTTGTATATGTATATGCACCCGTGTGTGTGTGTGTGCGTGTGTTTATTGGTGTGCGTCTCTCTCTCTCCCCCCCATCTCTGTCTGGATGTCTGTCTGGGTGTTAGCGTCTGTGTGTATGGGGCATTAGGGGAAAAGGAAAGGAATGGGGGAAAAAGAGAAGAAGGAAATGATGAGCAAGACACGGAAAGGCGACGGCAAACGAAAAGAAAAGCAAAGAAAAACAAAAGGGAGCCCAACTTCAAGGTAGTGTCTTTCATCATTCACGGTTAGTGGAGAAGGTATGCGTGTGTGTGTGTGTGTGTGTTTATGAAAGGATGCCTACTTGTGGGCTTCGCCGTTGAGGCGGAAGGAGTCGCTGGCGGAGACACGTCAGTGGTATTGAATAGTGGAGTGGGCCTCCTCCTTTCATTGGAGGGCACAGCACAAATATGAGACTTGTAGTGTCGTGCTCAGACAAGGACTCATGCACAAGCACCTGTTGTCTGTATTCTTACTCCCCTTCTCTCACTCCCCCAACGGCAGAGGGCCCCGGGCGTCTTGCATCCAACGTTATGTGTCTTCTTTCTTTCGTTCTTTCTTTTTTTTTTTCTTTTGGTTTTACCTTCCCTCCATCATTCTCATCGTTGCACTCAGGGGGTTGTAGTGCTACCGCCTGCAAAGAAAAAGAGAACGAGACGAGAAAAGAAAGGATCATACAACGCATAGAAAGCGTGACGCTTTCGTTATTGTTTTTTTTTTTTTGTTTTTGGCTTTCGGAGTTCATTTCAGAGTTGTTTTGAGGCATGGGCTGCTGCTGCTGCTGCTCTCGGAAGACAACCGATGTGCCGGAGAAGTATGAAGAGAACCGCAGCTGTACCGACGTCATTTTTGCAGTTCTCTTCATTGCCGCCTGGGGCGCCTTCATCGCGCTCGGCGTCATCGCCTTTAAGGGCGGTGACATCAAAGCCGTTGTGAATGGGAACGACTACCTTGGCTATTACTGCGGCGAAGGTGAAGCGCCGGAGGGCTTCGCTGGATCTATTCCCGCCGGAGCGCCGTTTCAAAGCAGCAACTGGGGGGAGAACAAGTACTCCTGGTACCCGGTGCCGCTTTCGAAGGGAGTGAAGGAGGTGCTCAACGTGCCGAGCTACGCAAACCTCGGTGTGTGCGTGCAGACATGCCCCAGGGTGGACGTTGACGCACTAAAAGATTTCCTCGATAACTCCACAGATCCGAATCCAGAGTCCTTAGCGCGCATGACGGTCTATTCGTACGGCAAGACAACCATCGACGGCGCCACCGTGAACCCTGCTTCCAAGATGTATGTGCTGTACGACACGGCTAAACTGATCCGCAAGTGCCTACCGTCGGTTGTGCAACCACTGGAGGTGCAGAACGAGTTGGCCCCGTCTCCTGTCGTGGAGAAGGTGTACACCTTTGCCATGCAGGGCGTGCATGAGGTGGAGAATAGTTGGCGCGTCCTTGTTATTGAGGTGTTCATTTGCCTGGTGCTGTGCTTCCTTTTCATTTTCCTGATGCGGTTCCTCATTGGCTTCGTGGTGTGGTTCGTGCTGCTGGGCGTCTTCTTCCTGCTGGCTGGCGGTGGCGCTATTTCCTTCTTCTTGTATCATACGAAGGGAGAGAGCTCCTACCTGGAGGTTTCTGGTATACGCGACTATGCTACACTCTTTTTGGTTCTGGCCATTGTGCTATGGGTGTTGGCGTTAGTTTACCTGTTCATTATTCTCTCGCTGTGCTCCAAGGTCCGCCTCGTGTGTGCCATTATCAAAATTGCTGGTCGCGTCTTGGCCTCTGGGCCGCTAATGCTCGCAGTACCGATGGTAACCTGCGTGCTCATCATCGGTGTGCTGGCGTGGTCAGTTCTTATTGCCATCTGTCTCTTCAGCGCGAAGGAGAGGGGTACTGAACTGTCGCTTGTGCCTGTTACAGATGCGCTGCAGTACGAGGGCGCTCCGGTCGTGAATGTGAGCGGTACCGAATTCTACAAAGTCGCGACGGGTGTTCTCAACTCAAAGACGTCGATGGAGTACCTTATGATCGCCGATCTCTTCGGCTTTCTGTGGACGATGGGCTTCCTCAGCGCGGTGTGTTTCACAGTCATCTCCTTTGTCTCCATCTTCTGGTACTTCTCGAGTCTGGAAGACAGCGAGAAGGCGGTTCCTGCCTGTGGAGTCTGCAAAGCCGTCTGCTGGACGTTGTTCTACCACGCTGGTACCCTTGCACTTGGCTCCCTGCTGGTCGCCATTGTGCAGACGTTGCGCTTCATACTCTCGTATTTCGCGAAGAAGGCGAAGGTGGCAGTGGAGGATAACCACGTGATCAGGTGCTTGATGTGCTACTTGGAGTGCTTCCTCGCCTGCTTTGAACGTGTACTCTCTGTGATCAACAAGAATGCGTATGTGATGATGTGTCTGACCTCTCAATGCTTCTGCGTTGCTGCGTGTAATGCAATCGGGCTCATTCTGAGCTACGCCGTGGAGCTGCTTTTCCTTGGTTGGATCGTGGAGGTGGTGATGTTCTTTGGGAAGCTCTTCGTCGTTGGTGGCTGCTGCGTCTCGGGATACTTCCTCTGCACCGTGTCATCACTCGCGCCGGAGGTGGAGGTGAAGGTGATGCCCCTCATTGTCATTGCCATCATGGCGTACTTTGTCTGCAGCGTCTTCTTCAGTGTCTACAGCTCCTCTGCGGACGCCTTGCTCGTGTGCTACTGCTACGACCGCAAGGTAAACGAGTCTCGCGCCATGTACTACGTGCCGGCGGAGCTCGAGCACCAGATCGCCGACTACTCGCAAAAGGACAAGCTGCGCGACTTCAACGCGAGGCAGGAGGCGGCGCACCAGGAGGGGGAGCAGCAGCCGCATGGCTGAGTGGGCGCGAGGGGGAGGAGGGGGAGAGGGAAGAGGAGGGGGGCGCTGCGCGTCAGCCCTCTGCAGCCCCCACTTGCGGGGTGACTGCTGGCACGATATGTATGGGCGTTGATTCATCTCGGCCAAGGAGAGCGTTAACCGGTGGAAGCAAAAA